TCGGCCCCTCTTTTTTTTGGTGGGGGCCCATCCCTTGGTCGGCCCCTCTTCCTTTTTCTTCCATTTTCCCAGCATCATTGTCTGCTCTAAGCTTTCCTGTCTTCTCATGATGTGGCCAAAGTACTTCATCTTTGCCTCTAATATCCTTCCCTCCGAGCAGTCAGGCTTTATTTCCTGAAGTATGGACTGGTTGGATCTTCTCGCTGTCCAAGGACACTCTCAACACCACAGTTCAAAAGCATCTATCTTCCTTCGCTCAGCCTTCCCTATGGTCCAGCTCTCACATCCGTAGGTGACTATGGGGAATACCATTGCTTTAACTATGCGGATCTTTGTTGCCAGTGTGATGTCTCTACTCTTTACTATTTTATCGAGACTGGACATTGCTCTCCTCCCAAGAAGTAAGCGTCTTCTGATTTCCTGGCCACAGTCTGCATCTGCAGTAATCTTTGCGCCTAGAAATACAAAGTCTGTCACGGCCTCCACGATTTCTCCCTCTATTTCCCAGTTGTCAATCATTCTTGTTGCCATAATCTTGTTTTTTAATTTTAACTGCAACTCAGCTTTTGCACTTTTCTTCTTTCCTTGGTTAGAAGGCTCCTCAGCTCCTCCTCACTTTCAGCCATCAAAGTGGTGTCATCTGCATATCTAAGGTTGTTAATGTTTCTTCCATATTATTATTATATATTACCTATATTGCACCATACCACTTATATCATAATTATTAGTAATATTACATGTAAAATAAAATATATAATTATATTATTATATTGTATTACATTATAATATTATCAATATTATATGTATATGCAATATATTATATTATTAAGCTGTATATGCAATATATTATATTATTAAGCAAGGACGTAATCGGAAAGCATTTTTCTCCATCTTCACATATGTTGCTGTTCAAAAACAAGTGCCTAATTTCTGTTTTTCCCCTTTTAAAACGTATATTGTAATTTGATGCTGTTAATAATAAGGTGTATGTAGACTGCCATGTGTTTTGCTATTACTGTTACCGCTAATATGCACTTTCTATAATACATATATATATAGTCCACACTGAAATGGCAACTTTGTATATTATGTAGATTTCACACCAACAGCCTTGCATTTGTCAAGCCCCGCACATCGCATGATGTGTCCTGCATACAAGTTGAATAGGTTGGGTGAGAGTATACAACCCTGTCGTACGCCTTTCCCAATCTTGAACCAGTCTGTTGTTCCGTGGTCAGTTCTGACTGTTGCGACTTGGTCCTTGTACAGATTCCTCAGGAGAGAGACAAGGTGGCTTGGGATGCTCATACCACCAAGAACTTGCCACAATTTATTATGATCCACACAGTCAAAGGCTTTAGAATAGTCAATGAAACAGAAATAGATGTTTTCCTGAAACTTCCTGCCTTTCTCCATTATCCAGCGGATATTGGCAATGTGGTCTCTCGTTCCTCTGCCTTTTCTAAACCCAGCTTGTACATCTGGCGACTCTCACTCCATGTATTGCTGGGTATGTGAGGCAGTTTGAAATCTGTTTCGTGGATGGAGGGGGAAAATATGTTGAAAGGTATTGAAAATAAAGGTCCAGGAGTTGCTTCTTTGAATTGAGTTATCCACGTTGTACAGTTATAGCAGTCTGCTAACATATTTAATTCCCCGAGATCTCTAGTTTGGTGTTTGCAAATGCATTTGAGTTCAGGGAATTGAGAATGAAGCTCATTAAAATACTAATCCCGGGATTCCCCAGCATTGAGTTTGAAGTACTGTTAACCTGCATTGAGTACTGTTAACCCTTCTTCCACACAGCTGAATAAAATCCCAGATTATCTGCTTTGAACTGGAATATATGGCAGTCTGGACTCTTGATACTCCAGCTCAAAGCAGATACATGGCTATGTGGAAAGGCCCTAAACCTACAGCCTTTTAGAAAGCATTGCAAGCCTCTATTAACAAATTCAGCATAGTCTCCAGTGCCACCTAGTGGAGCATTTGAGGAACTGCTACAAGCATTCAATGCAAGGCAATGGAATTCCCCATTAATTTCGGTACTGTGAATTGCAGGTGCTTAAAAGCAGGATTCCAAAAATTGCACCACGTTGGGGCCTAAGCCCCAGGGATGCGTCAGTGTTGTGTAGGCGTTAGCAGTACTGTTCTCACTATACGTTCATTGAACAGTAGCGCAACCCCAAGATAAGGACGGCTGAAAGGGAAAACGCCATGACAATCTGGGGATATGGACGGGAACTATCTATCACGTCACAGCGAGTGCTTTGCCGGCGTGGGTGGGTTTGTTCTGCATATTCGGCTGGACCACGGAATAGTTGCAAACGCTCGCTCTTTTCGCGTACTTCGAAGCAACCGGCCACTTTTCGAGGTTTTTACCCTATCCACAATGCATCGCTGTGGGGTCATTTGCATAAGAGGGCGGCAGCGGGGCGGAGGAACCTTCGTTCTATGGAGCTGCGAGAGAACGCCCAGAAGCTTCCGCGAGCATGCGCCAAAGCAAAGGATTGTGGGAGATGTAGTCCACGTCCATTGAGCTCATTTGCAGCCTTTTTAAGGTGTTGGTTGGAATAAATGGTGAAGAAGGAAATTTCATTAAACACACATTTTAGGAAGAAAGAGAAAACAAATTACTTTCAACCTAGGCTTTTAAAATTGGTTAACTTGGGAGGACTGCCATGATTTCAGTAATTTTAATAATTATTGTAATATCTATTTTTTTTTCCTAATTCAATGGGAGGTGAGGTTTTGAACAATGACAGTGCTACGAAAGAATGACAGCAAATAAAATGCCTGGGTTCATTTCAATGTTTGCATAATCATTTATTTATTTACTTATTTACGGCATTTATATGCCGCCCTTCTCACCCCGAAGGGGACTCAGAGCGGCTTACAAGTAATGTGTAAATACAATATATTATATTATTAGCGTATCACAATATTAGTATATTACTATATTGTACTATACCATTATACTGTAATATTGTTAGTAATATTATATGTAAAATAAAATATATAATTATAATATTATATTGTATTACATTATAATATCAATATTATATGTATATGCAATATATTATATTATTAAGCTGGAAATTCAGCAAGGACGTAATCGGAAAGCATTTTTCTCCATCTTCACATCTGTTGCTGTTCAAAAACAAGTGCCTAATTTCTATTTCCCCCTTTTAAAACATTTATTATAATTTGATGCTGTTAATAATAAGGCATATGTAGACTGCCATGTGTTTGCTATTACAACTAATATGCACTTTCTATTTTATATATATATATATAGAGAGAGAGAGAGAGAGAGTCCAGATTGAAATGGCAACTTTGTATAGTATATAGATTTCCCATCAACACAGCAAGGCCTGAAAAGCGTCTCTGAGTTCTTCTACACTATAGAATTAATGCAGTTTGACTCCACTTCAATCTGCTGTGGCCCAATCCTATGGAATCATGGAATTTGTAGTTTGGTGAGGCAGTAGCACTCTTTGGCAGAGAAGGTTAAAGATCTGAATGTTCAAAACAGCAAATGATATGTTTAATCAGGCCAATGATGAATCATGGTTGTCATGATAATATCTTTAATTATATATGCACCAACTCTATATAAATCAAAGTTTGACAGCCCTTTAATGCCATGACTCAATGCTGCAGAATCCAGGATTTTGTAATTTGGTGAAGTAGCAGCCCGCTTTGGCAGAATCATAGAACCATAGAGTTGGAAGAGACCTCGTGGGCCATCCAGTCCAACCCCCTGCCATGAAGCAGGAAAATCACATTCAAAGCACCCCCGACAGATGGCCATCCAGCCTCTTTTTAAAAGCTTCCAAAGAAGTAATCCTCACCACACTCCGGGGTAGAGAATTCCACTGCTGAACAGCTCTCACAGTTAGGAAGTTCTTCCTAATGTTCAAGTTGGAATCTTCTTTCCTGTAGTTTGAAGCCATTGCTCCGAATCCTAGTCTCCAGGGCACCAGATAACAAGCTTGCTCCCTCCTCCCTATGACTCCCCCTCACATATTTATACATGGCCCTAATCATGTCTCCTCTCCGCCTTCTCCTCTGCAGGCTAAACATGCCCAGCTCTTTAAGCCACTCCTCCTAGGAATTGTTCTCCAGACCCTTGATCATTTTAGTCGCCCTCCTCTTGACACATTCCAGCTTGTCCACATCTCCCTTCAATTGCGGTGCCCAAAATTGGACACAGGTGTGGTATGACAAAGGCAGAATAGAGGGGTAGCATGACTTCCCTGGATCTGAACACTATGCTTCTATTTAGGCTAAATAGACTACATATAAGAAGCTAAAAACATTGTGGAACTAGAACTCCCGTGATTCTTTGCCATAGTGAGAGAAGGCAAAGTAGTGCCAAACTGCATTATTCTCGTTCCCTGAAATAATGCTTCTGGCATTTCCGCTTCATCCTGGCTTGTGATTTCAGTCCCTATTTGCCACTTAAAACAAGGGAATGGGCTAGATACGCCTCCCCTTCCTTTTTGGCACCTCAGTTGCAGAGCTGTTCCATCCTTCTTGGCTTAATTAAGCCGTAATTAACTGCTGAGTCTGGCACAGAGAACTATATTTTGCTGTCAGTTTTCTCAGCAGGATCTCTAAGCACTCATTTAATGCTGAAGAGGCAAAATGGGGGCTCAGGGTCTCTTTGCTCACGCAGCAGCCTTTTCATCAGTCGAAAATGAAGTGGGGTGGAGGTGGAAGCACAATGTCTTTCCCATGAAATCTATGCAGCAACTGAGACATCATTTAATCCAGTTAAATTTGTGTCAGCAACATGCTCGTCTATGGCTCCCATAGACTAGCCCTCTTAGTGCTTCATCAATTTGGAGGATACATACCTTTTGCAGGGCTTATCTTTGAAAGTTGTGAATATTAATGCAGTAGCAGGGAACCCCACTGCTTTATGCCTCTCTGACAATGTTTACTTTGTGTACTCCCTGTCTGATCTTGGGTCTCTTTTTTTGTTTCATTTTCAGGTTGTCCTGCTGGGCTTGGACATCTTATCAGCCCTGGTGTCACGGCTCCAAGACAGATTCAAAGCCCAAACTGGCACAGGTGAGCTTGTTTTGGCTGGTGTTTTCTTTTGCTTGCTTATCACTCTGCAAATCATGACTTGAGACTGGTGGAGGGAGCCAGATATACAGGTCAACTGTCATAGTTATAAGGAAGCAGCAGTTTGTAACAGCAGCGGAGATGGAATTTGGAATTTTAAACGGAGGCTGGATGATCATCTGTCAGGGGTGCTTTGAATGCAGTTTTCCTGCTTCTTGGCAGGGGGTTGAACTGGATGGCCCATGAGGTCTCTTCCAACTAATTCTATATTCTGCTTGTCTGCATATAGGCAGAGAAGCAGTTATTTTTTGAACTGGATTATATTAGTCTACACTGCCAGTGCATATGGCAGTGTAGATAGTCCCATCTGAAAATTTATTTATTTATTTATTTGGGGTTCTTTTACCCCGCCCTTCTCACCCCGAAGGGGACTCAGGGCGGCTTACAAAAGCAAAGACACAGTTTGATGCCTGCATCATAAAACAATCATACACAAAATCACATCAATTCACAGTTGACAACAATTCATGCATTATAACCATAAAATCAGTAAAATCAATAAAAACTAAATACAAACCCAATTTCTCCTCATACATGGTCAGCGTTCGTCAACTCATAGATCTAGTTTTACGTTCCACTTCCTCAATCCTGCTGGTCTTACTCGCCTGATTGTCTGATTTAATTGCCAGAGTGCCCAAAGGCCTGGTCCCATAACCAAGTCTTCACCCTCCTCCTGAAGGCGAGGAGGGATGATGATGCCCTGATTTCCCCCGGGAGTGAGTTCCACAGGTGGGGGGCCACCACTGAGAAAGCCCTGCTCCTCGTCCCCACAAGCCTCACTTGTCACAGTGGTGGGGTCGAGAGCAGGGCCTCCCCAGACGATCTCAGACTCCGGGGTGGGACGTAGAGGGAGATACGTTCGGACAGATACACTGGACCGGAACCATATAGGGTTTTGTAGGTCAAAACCAGCACCTTGAATTGTGCTCGGAACTGAATCGGCAGCCAGTGGAGCTGGCACAGCAGGGGGGTGGTATGCTCCCTGTATGTCACTCCTTTTTACAGTCGAAAAATTTCAAGCTCCTTTTTACAGTCAAAAAACTAGAAATTAGTTTTTTGTCTTTTTAAAAGAGCAAAGCTGGGATGCTCAGATCTACAATTCTGAGCAGCACTCGCCAATACTGGATTTAGGTGTGTGGCCAAGGAGGGACTTGGGGCATAAGGCCTCCTTTGTAGAGCAACATGGAAAGCTCATAGTAGTGGAAGCTTTCTGGGTATTCAAGATTAGCATTATATATTATTACTTTTGGTTTGCTAACATTGCCTGTGGGTAGGTCAGTAGGTATAGCAACTACATTTAAATATAACTAATCATCCTTTCTTATGGCTTATTTTTTATTTTATAGCTAATATTTTTAATAATTTAATATAATAAGGTTGTTAAGCGATTTACTTTAAAATATGTATACAATGTGATATTAAGGAAAGTAAGTAACTAATACCTTGATGATACTCATAAGACAATCTTGTTTTTAACCTTTTATTCAAAGCAAGAGTCTGTTCCTTCCATGGGAATAGTTTGCCAAAGTCACTGTTCAGATTGCCTTGTAGGAGGCTCTGAGTGGGAAGGCAGACGTGTATTTATGCATTGTACTGTCTGTCTATATTTCTAGCTGTCTTCCTGTGCCCTCTTCTCTAATCAGCTTTGCTTTATCTTTTTAGTGCTGCCTAGTCTAATTGACAGGTTGGGAGATTCAAAAGACTCAGTACGAGAACAGGATCAGGCACTGCTGCTAAAAATCATGGAGCAAGCTGCTAGTCCTCAGGTGAGTCCACAGAAATATCCAACTTCACTGAAACAAGTGGCTTCCAGATTTGGAGCATAGTTTGTGTGGAGTAGGGTGGGTTTGTGACCATTTGGTATATTCTGTTTTTCAGATAGATTCAGCTACTATAAGGAGCTTACTATCAATTACTGTTTAGTAATTAACCTTTGTTCTAGAGACATCATTTCCTGGAGCACAACACTCCTCCTCAGTTTTTCATTCTATCCTATTCTGTCTTTCTTTAAAGACAATTAGTCGCAACTCTTAATAATTTGAGTATCTTAATTTGATTTCAAGTAAAATAGATAGGCAGGAAATGCATAAAATTTTATTTTACAATTATTACGTGTGTGTGTGTGTGTGTGTGTTGGGGGGGGAACGTATTTGGTTGAATAACAACATGACTGAGAAGCAACAGTGGGGTCTCTGGATCCATAGGGACCCCTTTGGATGGCAAAAATGTGAATGGTCTTGCCCTATGTTATCAGATGACGATAATGTGAGGTCAGTATCCATAAATTTTAGGTATGGGCCATGGTGATCCACAGTCAGTTGAAACTGTGAATTGAGACCCCACAGATTGGAAAAGCCCATTGTAAGGTTAATATGTCAAAAACAAAAATATGCCGTAAATGTACAGATCTTGTTTTAACGTCTTATCTTTTTAAAAGAATATTTTAATTTGTCCATTATGGGAGAAAATATGGCAGAAACATTAAGCTTCATTCAACTATCCTTTATAATAATAAGAGAGTTCGGCGTTTCTGGAAAGGCCCGTCTGGGTGTAATATATGTCTAGGGAGTGGATGGAATGGACCTGCACCATTGTCTCCAACCTTGAAATCATGCCATAGCTGAACTCCATCAGTAACATACTTGAAATGCTACAGATTTCTGCAACTGTTCTTTAGATATCTGCTCAGGGCCCTTCCAGACATGCCGTATATCTCTGGATCTGATCCCGGGGTTTTTTTTTTTGTTTTTTGTTTTGTTTTTTGTTATTCCCAGATTATCTGGGAGTGTGGACTCATATAATCCGGTTTAAAGCAGAAAACATGGGATCAGATTCTGGGCTGTGAGGCCTATCTGGAAGGGCTTTCAGTCAGTAGATGTTGCAAGCTGGCCCAAATGTGGGTAGGAGGGCACATGTAATATGTAGAGAGTGCCAAAATGTTTGTGGTATTAAATACATTTCTAGATCCAGGATTGGCATCAAGAATTTAATATGGATCACCACTGTGAAGATTATGATTAAATGAGCTCACAAAGTTAGCATCAGTGCATCACTGTTCAATTAATGGCTGCAGAACCCCATTAAATTGATTTAATGTTTCTGCCATTAAAATGTATCTTAACTCCCACCTACAACCTCCTGCCCTTGCAAACATTCCCTGTTGAGAACACTTAGTCTGTAGCTGGTGGAACCTAGTGAAATTGGCTGAGAGATATTAATTCCTAGATGCTACAAGGAAAATGTTTGTGATATTGCCTTATTGTAAACTGTTTTTATATGTTGTACACCGCCGTGAGTCGCCCTAGGGCTGAGAACGGCGGTCAACAAATGCAGTAAATAAATAAATAATAAATAAATAAATGCCTTTCAAATGTCATGTTTCCTGTTCACCTGTTGCAGTCCTAGAGGGCTGGATTCATTGCATGTTAAATACATATTTCACTGGTAACCGAATCGTAGCTCTGGGCATTATATGTGCTTACCCTCTCTCCATCAGGATAAGGCTTTCTAAAAGATCACTGTGTGAATGTGATAGTGATGAGGGACAAAAACAAAACAAAAGCAGCATCCAATCACTAAAATGCTCCTTTGATGTGTATATATGTGGGCCTGTGTATTATTTAATAGTTTACTGTTCCCACTGATATCTATGTCTGTGTCTACTCACTTGTGCATGTGTGTGTGTACATGTGCACACACCTGCATATACACAAGTCCTCCTCTTGTGATTACATAATATCCAGCATCAACAAATGTAAAACCGTAGCTGGTTCAGGGTTCATTTTTCTGTTTTCTCTCTCTTCCTGTGGCAGTATGTATGGGACAGGATTTTGGGAGGATTCAAACACAAGAATTTCCGGACGAGAGAAGGAATTTGCCTCTGCCTTATTGCAACGCTCAATGCGTAAGTGGGGCTTTATAGCTTCTTTTGAAACCTGTATTCAGATTTTAAAAAACAAAAAACAAAACTATTAGTAGTTTATTCTTTTTTTCTTTTCTCTTTTTTCTGCCCCTCTCCTGTCTGTCTGTCATAGATATGGAGCTCAGAGTTTAACACTGAGCAAGATTGTGCCACATATATGTAACTTACTTGGAGATCCAAACAGCCAGGTGAGTGTTGAATGAAAAATATTTGTTTAAATATTTCTTCTTTGCAGAGAGATGGCTATGATGGATAGAGCTTGAAGAAATGTTATTATTTCAAAGTTATGGCATACGTTTTCACCTTTTGCTGAGACTTGTCTGAAATTTCAAATGTTGGTATGTCTCATTCATTGAACTTCATTAAATATATAATCATGAATTTTCCTGTTCTTTGTGTCAAGCTGCAGTTTTTGTGTATGCCATATTAACAGATATCCATTTTGTATGGATATATTGTTATACCTTTATGTTATATAGTTATAGTTTATGCCAAATATGAATGAAGATCCTTTAGAGCAAACTGAAGGTCTTTTGGAGTGAACTAAAAACACTTTTCAGAAATCTGCAGCCTTCCATCTTTTCTCTAGTAACTTATAACTTACTGCAAATAATTGTGTAAGTCTGTGCTGACAAAGGTAAGCCAAAAGTTGCCTAGTCAGTAAAAAAGGACTGTGGGAGCAATTGTCCAAAACAGTCTATAGAGGGCAAAAGCTTCCCACCCCATTGATATTACATATAATAAGAAGAAGACTGGGTTCTGAACAGCCAAGACCTTAACTAGTAGAATTTTTTGTTTTTTCATCATGGTTTCCTTCTATGTGCTTTTACAGTTGCTAAAAGACTTGTACACCAAGGTTGGAAAGACACATTCTCTTATCTATTATTTGATGATTAGAAGATCTCACTTCTATATATAAGCATGAATTACCTTTCGAAAAAAAAATCTGGCTCTTTGAACAAGCCTTTGGAAATGCAGTGCAATAGAAAAACATGGAATTATATAAGATTGAAACATGAAATGGCTTAGATGATGCTACTGGAAAATGAGAATAACAGGAAGACATTGGTTATATATATGTTTTAATAGTTTTTGTATGATTTTATAATATTGTTTAAAATGTTTCCATTGTATATTGTGGCTTGTTATGGCATCAGTTTTTTTTTTTACCGAGACATAACCATGTTTTTGAAGATGTCTTTGGTTTTCTACAACCGCTTATGATTTAGAATTGGAAAAAAAAAACCCCAGGAAAAAACATGTTTCAAAGTGTTCAATAGTTGGCTGCTTTTAAAAAGAAAAAGCCCAGTGAGATTTGGCCTGTGTGTATTTCTGTGTCCTTTTTTGGGGACAATAGAAGATATAGCCGCAGTAATTTCTGAAGCTGGGTTTCTCATTTAATTTGCTGGACAGAAAAGAAAAATAGGAACTACTCCTCCCCTTTTCTCACTTTCTGCTGACATAAAAAACATTGAGCCAAATCTCCATGATTGTTTTAGGTGTTCCCCAGTTTTTGTCTCTTCCAATATAGCAAGGAGGGCAGCTGTTCAACAAATTAAAGCCACATACAACAGTGGACGTATGTTGACTAAGTTTGCAGTTAATTAGAATGAAACATGGTTCTTGCCCCTTCACAGTGGCTCTGTTTGGAAGATCACCATGTTTCCCCTTCTCTCTAGACTCTGTTTCACTTAGAAATCCCTTCTAAATAGGGAAATGTCCCGTAAAAACAAAGAAACAAAATCTAGGAAAATAAAATGGAATCATAGAATTGGGGAAAAAAATCACAGGGTCATCTAGTCCAACCCTTTGCTATGCAGGAAGACACATTCAAAGCACTCTTTACAAGTGGTCATCAAGCCTTTGCTTAAAATCCATCAAAGAAGGAAGTATATAACTTGGTGGAAGTGGACTGTAAAATTAGAAAGCTTGACAGCCACGAAAATAGGGAAAAATTATCCAGAAACGTAATGTTGAAACTAGGAAGAAATTTCAGGAATGTACTGTCAGTGGCAGTGGCCATTGAAAACCAAGGATCTGTCCAGCGTTGATGGCACCAACACTCATTACATTAAACTTCAATGTCCAAAGAGCCAGAGGCGTTGGAGACAGCTTGCAAATTTAATATTATCCCTACAAAAGGAGATGTGATTGAAGTTTTGCAAAAAAGACGGCCAGGTCAGAAAGAAGTTGGAAGAGGGCAAGGGTCATCTAGTCCAACCCCTGTCTGCTATGCATGCAGGAACCCACAACCAAAGCACTCCTGACAGATGACCATCCATCCTTCAGAGGAGACTCAAAAGAAGGAAGTTTGTATCTTGGTGGAATGCTTAAGTAGTAGGAATTCAGAACTTTCCCGATGGTCAGTTATACTCTTGGACAGTGACAGTTAGAAAGGTATGGGTGAGTTTTTGGGGGAAGGGGCGTAATAAAAGCACAATTAAGCATACTGGGTTTGCCCCCTCCTTGCACTTCCTTCCCATAAAATGGGTTGGGAGTTGTGTGGCCCTCCAAATGTTGCCAGACTCCCAACTCGTAGCCAACATCAACCATGCTGGGACACTCAGTTCGGCAATGTCAAGTGGGCCGAATGATTCCTGGCCCTTCTGTGGAGCTGTGACCCCTAAACTCTGGACCCAGACGTGATTTGGACCCCAGCTCCCAGAGTGGCTGAAGCTCCTGGGAGTTGAAGTCCAAAACGTCAGGAGGACAAGGGTTTGGGGATCATTATTGTAGAGCAAAGATTGGGGAACCTCCCCCCCACCCAGCCTGAGGGCCAAATTCAATTTCAGGGCCATTCTTGAAGGCTGTTCTCCAGGTGCGGATGGGCCCAAGGGCAAAGGGGTGGCCTCAGCAGACTACAGATCCCAGGACTTAAGCAGAAAAGGAAAGGGCCTGAGGCTCTTAGGAATGGCAGGAGCTGAAGTCCAAAACACCTGCAAGGCCCAAGTTTGCCCATTCTTGCTCTAGAGTTTGGGCATCAGCCACTTGGCAGAAGCTAGTTCTGCCGCCCAGTGCTTGTTGTTTATGTGCCGTTGCCATGGAGACGGAGAGAGTGCCTTGAGGCCTGCTGGGCCCAAAGAGTCTGAAAAGCGCCATAGGACACAATGGGTCTGAGATGGAAGAAATAGGAGAGGCCTCATGGGGAAGGATGGCAGGCTGGACAAGGAGAAACAGGGAGAAGAGTAAAGGAGGGATCCAATATGTCTCTGCTGTTGTGAGGTCTAGAAATGCTCCCTAACAGGATGAATAATGTGTAATCCCTGAGCATATGTTTTCATTTTAACCTTCAAGTTAGAGCTCCCTCTCCTAGAAAGTGTTTTCAGTGCTGCTCAAAGGTGGGTAGTGCGTTAGTTTGTTTGTGACTATATACATAAAGTCATTGAAGTAACACCTGTTGTTGAAACAGACAGATGCCCACGATCCCATATACAAGCTTTCAGTTTACACAGAGCTGGATTTCTATTCAAATAGATAGAAAAAGGAAATATATTCACTGTTTCAAGATCATGATCTGAACCTACAGCAGAAGCTGAGTTTCAGATCCTCTCTACAGACTTAGATGGTTAGAAGGCATGATCATCAAGTTTGCAGACGACACCAAATTGGGAGGGATAGCCAATACCCTAGAAGACAGGAGCAGAATTCAAAATCATCTGATCAAATTAGAGAGATGGGCCAAAACTAGCAAAATGAAGTTCAACAGGGACAAATGCAAGATACTCCACTTAGGCAGAAAAATTGAAATGCAAAGATACATAATGGGGAACAATGCCTGGCTTGAGAGCAGTACGTGTGAAAAAGATCTTGGGGTCCTCGTGGACAACAAATTAAACATGAGCCAACAATGTCATGCGGCGGCAAAAAAGGCCAATGGGATTTTGTTCTGCATCAATAGGAGTTTAGTGTCTAGATCCAGGGAAGTCATGCTACCCCTCTATTCTGCCTTGGTTAGACCACATCTGCAATATTGTGTCCAATTCTGGGCACCACAATTGAAGAGAGATATTGACAAGCTGGAATGTGTCCAGAGGAGGATGACTTAAATGATTAAGGGTCTGGAGAACAAGCCCTATGAGGAGTAGCTTAAAGAGCTGGGCATGTTTAGCCTGCACAAGAGAAGGCTGAGAGGAGACATGATAGCCATGTATAAACATGTGAGGCGAAGTCATAGGGAGGAGAGAGCAAGCTTGTTTTCTGCTGCCCTGGAGACTAGGACACGGAACAATGGCTTCAAACTACAAGAAAGGAGATTCCATCTGAGCATTACTCTGAAGTTAGCTGAAAAATTAACAAAGTCCAAGTCTTTCCATTAATATGAATCTTTAGCTGACTTTGCACATTAGGATGAAGAAATTTTTGGCCTTCTGGCTGTTGGGACTCCAGCCTCCATCATCCCCTACTTTTACCTAGACTGGCTGATGGGAGATGCAGACCAAAAAAGTGCCTATTCCTGATCCTAATGAGTAACTACAATCAAGCTTTGCCTATTTTACAGCAACCTGATGAAAAATGTAACTATCCTGCAATAGCAACATTAATTGTTGTGAGAGGAGGTGCAGGAATCCAAAGCATCCAACTATATTTTTGTGCTGGCTGCAGAAAAAGAAAACCACTTTCTTTGTCCTTCATCTTGGTTTTCATACTGAATTTCTCATCTGCCAAGCATAGGTGCTCTTGTCATTACTTGTAGAGTATTGCTTAAATAATAACCTTTTTGAAAGTTGGGAAGTTCAGGGTTTTTGTGAATGTACTCAGCCAGTGTGGCAGCCTTATAAAGTAATTCGTGGGATAATCATAACTACAGACAAATCTGTCACCCTGCTTGTATTGCAAATTGGTCACAATACTAGCCTCTGTGTTCAGGGATAAGAGGCTATTGTCTTTATAACTGGATGAGATGCTTCAGTCCCTTGTTCCCACCAATCTTAAATCATCATTGGTTTCCCCCCTCTTCTCTCTCTCTTCATTTCCCCCTGGATGAATCAGACTTACCCGTTTTGTTTCTTTCCCTTGCTAGCAATAGTGAGTAATACAGAGAGGGTGCAAGGCAATGTAGGGAAATGACACAGGCGCGAAACATTTGAGAGAATGTTGTTGGAAAAGAGAAGAGGTGTTTATAAGTCAGCAAGGAGGGTAATACTGTTTCGCTTTTTCACTTTATTAGCACTTATCTCAGCCATTAATTGACTTTTGTCCCATTGAATCAAAGGGGTCCAAAAGGTAGGGATAGCGATGCATTGGCCACACATCTATTTCACATTTCCACACCTTGCAGCTCCCCAGAGATTTGGGGCAAAATTTGACCCTCAAGTGGCCAGGGACACTCACTGTCACCCTTGAAGGTGATGGTACTGGCCATCTTGCCAATTTTTCAGACGTACTGGGTCCTGCTCATATTTTTTTTTAACACAGGAAGTGACCAGGCAATCACTTCCTTTTGAAAAAAAGAGGTCTACACAGTGGAAAGTAAAGATAGGGTTCCCTGAATGTCTCTAAATATGGCAAAATGCCCAAAAGCACCCCTAGATACTTGAAGGGAATTTCCTGATGATGCAACTTGTTGTTGTTCATTCGTTCAGTCGTCTCCAACTCTTCGTGACCTCATGGACCAGCCCACGCCAGAGCTCCCTGTCGGCCGTCACCATCCCCAGCTCCTTCAAGGTCAGTCCAGTCACTTCAAGGATGCCATCCATCCATCTTGCCCTTGGTCGGCCCCTCTTCCTTTTTCCTTCCACTTTCCCCAGAATAATTGTCTTCTCTAGGCTTTCCTGTCTCCTCATGATATGGCCAAAGTACTTCAACTTTGTCTCTAGTATCCTTCCCTCCAGTGAGCAGTCCGGCTTTATTTCCTGGAGGATAGACTGGTTGGATCTTCTTGCAGTCCAAGACACTCTCAGAACTTTCCTCCAACACCACAGCTCAAAAGCATCTATCTTCCTTCGCTCAGCCTTCCCTAAGGTCCAGCTCTCACATCCGTAGGTTACTACAGGGAATACCATGGCTTTGACTATGCAGATCTTTGTTGCCAGTGTGATGTCTCTGCTGATGACAACTATCATTCAGTAAATGGTTTTCAGTTGTTACCTTGAAGACACTAATTCATGCTGCGGTTTCCCCCCCTGAAATTTCATGACCTGCACTCAAAAGAGGTTTGTGGGGAGAAGCATCCAGTTACTTTGGCCTGTGTCATCTATAATGCAAAGATGGGATTTAGCACTGTGCACACGTTGAAAGTTGTGCAGCTTTACGCACATATATGCCTCCTTCCCTCCCTTAGAGTTGCAAAATGATCTGGGATTAGAAGCTTCTGAAATTTACCAGTTTGGAATTATAAATTTGGGATGCAGTAAAAGTCCCTGATTGAAATGTAACAAGCCAGCTTCTGAATTTGGTTTGATGGCAACATGTCCCCTTACTGGGATTTGAATGTGTATATGGGGAATATAATATCAAGAACCGAGTGGCAGAGTGTAGAGCAATCAGTGTGGTTTAATCATGCCAACCTATAGAAAATTTGAGTTGGACTCTTTGTATTGATGGTAATCATGATAACTATTATATCACTGTTATGGGTTATCCTTAATTATATATGTCACCCACTTTTCAGAGTTTGTGTGGTGTAGTAGTTTGAACATTTCGTTTCTCTTGAATTGTTAGGTTCGCGACGCAGCAATAAATAGCTTAGTAGAAATCTACAGACACGTAGGTGAACGTGTAAGAGCCGATCTCAGCAAAAAAGGATTACCACAGTCTCGGTGAGTGAAGAAGTTTGTTTGTTTGTTTGCTTTGGAGTCCACTTTTCTTTTTCTGGTTCTAAAATTAAAGCACTTTAAGAACTTGTATCCCTTCTGATTTGCTGAGTCCAGTGCTACCTCTTGGACTAGCTACCCCTGGCTACCACCTTCATCGTCCCACCCAGGCATTTGAAAGAGCCACAAGTGGCACCATGGCAGAGAGAGTCTAGGGAGTTGGTGCTTGTTTAGGCTCTTCTCAAGCACACTTGGCTTTCTCCTTTGACTACTCTATCAGATAGGGGATTGACCCTTCTTTGATAAGAATCTTTCCAATTAAAAATGTTAAAACATGTGCTTTCTGATGTCTGTTTTGTTTATTTTGTTTTGTTTTTGCAATTCTAATGTGATCTCTTTTTCAAATCAGGTTGAATATCATTTTTACAAAATTTGACGAGGTTCAAAAATCAGGAACAATGATCCAGGGATCAGGTGGTGAGTTGTTGTTTGTTTTTTTGTTTTGTTCACTTTTTTAAAGGATGCAGTCTCATCCTCTCTCCTCTTCTTCACCCCTTAGACAAACATCTTTTCCATTTGTTAAAGAAATGTATTTCTACTGCATCATGTGAAAGTCAAATCTTTCTAATGCAATCGGTTACCTGATGTTATACTTTGCTGGAAGAAGAAAAAGAAAGGGAAGGGAAAAGAACTGTCACAAAGCCATGTGTTTACATACAACTTGATACTTTGATGCTACAACATCAGTTTCTGTTCTCCTGTATCTTCATCCTCTTCTTTTGCATGCTTTTAAAAATTAGTTATTTCATATGTTGCAACAAGCCATAGTTTGCTATTACTTTTGGAACTGGGAAACAAACACTGCCCCTCATCAAATTGTTTACTAATCATGTTCATATTTGCTTAGCTTCAGCAACTCTGCAGCATCAAATGGTTAGGGTCAATACACGGACCTATAATAACTGAGTTTTTAAAAAAAGTTTCAAGGTGTTTACGTTCTGCTTTGGAGTTCTGGCAAAACCTGCATTGATTAATTGATTGATTGGTTGGTTTGCCAGCTTATTTAGAATTTAATAGCCCTGCAGTTAGTTTCATGCTAGAGTTTGGGTTGTAGGGGCATGGACAGTTATAGTGAGTGACTTCAGAACGATTTTAGGAACAAAAGATCAGATCAAAACAACTTGCACCCAAACAGTATTTGAAATCAATGGGCAAATACTCTAATGTTTCCAAGCACTATAATAATATTAAAAGATATGACAGTGGCTTCCTATAGGCTCATAATCAAGTTGACGCAATGTAAAAGGAATGGGATAGGAAGAGAAAATCAAATAATATTTACTTTAAGATCCACTAATTAGATTGAAATTGAACAAGGCTGAACTAATATTGTTGTATGGGTATTTGTTATAGAGGCCTTCCTTTTTATAAAGTGTGTACATGGTTGAAGAACTAGCATTAATAATTAGATTGGATTTACCTTAATTTATTGTCTGTAGTACTGGTGTTTGATAAAATATGCAAACAACAGCTTACCAGTTAACCATTATTGCAGTGCCATTTGTGCTGCTAGAGTATGCTAGCGGTTATATGCCAGGAAACTCAACACAGTTGCTTTTCAGCTGTGTGATTATTGATCTTACGTTTCCTCACTGTTGGCTATGCTATGACTGCTAAAATTTAAGAAAGAAGCTTAGCGTGTTACTCTCAACTTGTCTCGTAGTGCTCTGATTGACACCAAGTAGCAAATGGAGGGGGTGTTTATTTAAAGAAAAAATATAATTGCTATTAGACATAGTTGTTGGTTTCTGAGAGTCATCTTAGGACCCTCAGGATATGAGTCTGATGTCTTTTACTTTCCTGAAACCAGTTACTTTAGTTTTAGTAACAAAATGTAGACACATTTACATTGTGACTTGTAGAGTGGATCCGTTCTTACTCATTCCTGCTCATGTAGTGGTCCAGTTAGGTTGGTTTGTCTTGTGGCCCTTGAACCCATGATTGTTTGGCTCCCACTGAGGAGTCTTGTGATACTGACGACCAACTTGCTGGAGGGATGACAAATGTGAGAAATAGTGACTTTCCTTTGTTGTCAAAAGCTTTGTGGCCAGAATCACTGGGTTGCAGTGAGTTTTGGGGCTGTATGGCAATGTATCAGAAGCAGTCTCCTCTGACATTTCACCTACATCTATGGCAAGCATCACCAGAAGTTGTGAGGTCTGTTGGAAACTAGGCAAGTGAGGTTTATATATTGGTGGAATGTCCAGTGTGGGAGAAAGAACTCTTGTCTACTTGAGGCAAGTGTGAATGTTGCAGTTGGCCAGCTTGATTAGCATTGAATGGCCTTGTAGCTTCAAAGCCAGGTTGCTGCCTGGAGATCCTTTGTCAGAAGATGTTATTTGGCCCTGATTGATTCTTGTCTGGAATTCCCCTGATTTTTTTTAGAGTTTTTAAAATACTGGTAGCCAGATTTTGTTCATTTTCATGGTTTCCCCATTTCTGTTGAAATTTTCCACATTCTTGTGGATTTCAGGGGCTTCTCTGTGTAGTCTGACATGGTGGTTGTTAGAGTGGTCCAGCATTTCTGTGTTCTCAAATAATATGCTGTGTCTAGGTTACTTCATCAGGTGCTCTGCTATGGCTGCCTTCTCATTGAATTAGTCTGCAATGACTTTCATGTTCCTAGATTCTTGTTTGGGCAATGCTGCATTCAGTGGTCCCTTGTCCACAACTGCATGAATACTCCACCACAGACATCAGAAGAGCTTGAAGACCAAGAACAAGCCACAAGAGTAAAGACAAAAATCCGCCCAGAGGAAAAGTGTTCTTACCTTACATCAAGGGAACCACTGACCGCATAGGGAAGCTGATGAAGAAACACAACCTACAAACTATCTACAGACCCACTAAGAAAATCCAACAAATGCCACATTCAGCAAGGGACAAAAGGGATCCTCCCACCTCTGTAGGAGTCTCCCGTATACCATGCAACTGTGGACAATCCAATAGGAAGCGTATTGGTTTTATGCCAATAATTTTGTTGTGAGATAGATAGATAGATAGATAGATAGATAGATAGACATAGTATAACCCCATCTGAGTTCATGGAGTCGGTGAACCCACAGTCCTTCCCCCTCCTTTCTTGTTGTGCATCAGCATTTTCTTCAAATAGATCTTAAGAAATACCAACTTTAAGGTTCTTATCTGTAGGGACTTTGTTTTTAAGCTTTAATAGCATTATGAGAAAAATGCCTGTTGGAGGGGGCAAATTGCAACTTGAAGTGGGTTTTACTTTATATAACAGGATGGAGGATTTCATCTGGTGGATATGCTGCTTGTTGCTAGGTTACAAGGAGGTCTTTTCAGTCCCTCATAGCCAGAAAATAGAGCTAAGCTGCCTCTTAGATTTCTTGGTCGTTCTGTGTATTTGTGTGTCAGTGTGTGTGTTAATGAACTATCTGTAAGTCTGTGGATGCAGAAATTGCAAGCTTCTTCATCACTACAGGCTTTTGGAAAACTCATTATTTTTCCACAACTGCCATTTTTAATTAGTGAAATGCACTTCTCCTATGTTTACATTTCCAAGAAATATATTTTCAAAATGAAAACATTAAGCCAATCTTGTTGCTGTGGGCATGGTACATAAAATATTAATTGTTTGCAAGATGAAAGAAGTGAGAGCCTTTCAGTATGAGTTACTGTACAGAACTAATACTGTCCCAGTTCTAAGGTTGCTAATCTGCAGTCCAGTGAAAGGGAAGCATGTACAACTTCAGTATAATTGTTTATAAACTGGTTTTTTGAATGGTCACAGTGAATGACCTTACATGAGTTATCATCTCAAAAAGCTCTTTCTCTCCCATCTTCTGAAGGACAGAAATCTGTTGCACCCACTGCTAGAAAGCTTTGCTCTCTAGACTTTCACCATTGACAGTGTTTCTTGTATAGTGCATGTACATGGAAGATATTTATACGATCTGGGCTGGTTGGCTCATGCACAAGAACATACTAAAATATCTAAATGATCCCCTTTCCCTTGGCATGCCAGCTTTACTGTTTTGAGATTTAGAATTGTGTTCATTTGTTTTGAATGAGTCTTAATAGTTGCCCATTAAGTAGCTCTTGCTATAGGTAGGTGAAATAGATGGCAATAATAAAGGATTTCAAATGTAGTCAATAGTGATATTTACAAAGCAACTTTCCAAATCTCTCTAGGCCCACATAACTTCATTTCACTATCCAGTGTTGTAATTTTGTCATGATAAGAAGTGAAAAGTCAGAGTTCAGTGATTCACCTCTTAAATTGCAAACGGGAAAGTATGAGCTGGCCTGTTTCAGATAGACATCCTAGGCTTCATAAATTATGGTTTATGGTGCCAGGAATCAACATCTGGGATGAGTGCTCCTCTCGTACCTCTCTCTTCTTGGTCTGCGCATCCATTCTGTACCACCTTTGGTACATTATTCTTTGTTTGAGTTCAACAAGAGATTCCTTGTATGTTCTGAACCAGGGAACTCTTTGTTTGTGTCAATTTTTGAAGCCACAAAACACTAATACAATGTAAATTCATATCAGTATTGATTGCACTTCTTATAAGTGCATGGGACGCAACCTGCTTGAAATCTGTGTGAGTTAGCTGTAAAATACTGAAGTACAGAAGGCTCTCAGGACCTCATCATATTTACTTCCAAAATTGCCATGGATCATGGTGAATCCAGCAATGCCCGGTGTGAGGCATTGGGAACATTTTGCCCCACACATGGGAGGCATTCTGTGTTGCTGCTGCAGCAGCAAATACCTGTTCCTCTGCAGTTTTACCCCGGAGTCCTGCCGGAAGTAGATGTATAATGTGAGAAAGTTACTATTAAAGATAGACCTAATACTATACCCATACTATACCATAAACTCTTTGACTTGATATGAATAGTGCAATACAGTAACGAACGCAAATTAAGCCAGAAAGACAAACTTAACTTAATGTGACACTGTTTTACTTTATTATAAAAAGTTTTTTATTTAAAATATTAATTCTTCAATTTTTTGCTGGTTGGTTGAGATTCTAGTTGCTTGAGTTCCAGTTACCTGAGAACCTACTGTAGTTGCAAAATGCACCCAGCACATTTGTGCTCATGTAGAGATAAATAATACATGGAATAGACTGGAACAAGTAACACAATACAAATGGAAAGCGATAGGTCTCTAAAATAAACCAAAGGTAGTTGGCTTGTTTGGCAACATTGACTCGTTTGAATATCCAAAGATGGATAGGAAGGAGCCAATTCACATATGGCTTATTGTTATTTCAAGGTATCTTGGATTGTGATTCAGTAGTAGACAAAGTCATTTTGGTTGATTTTCATTGTAAAGAAGGATGGCCACTGTCTAGTCTGGATCTTGTCATGCCTATGAATCAATGTGATATAACTTAAATGTTATTGGGGAGAAGGCATTTATGAAAATATGGATGTCTAAAGAA